CCCCCTCGAAAGTTTCCTGTACCTGACTTCGCACCTCAAGGTCCATTAGTTTTCGTGACAAGTGTCTGCCACAGCCCTTTAACCGATGTTATCGGCAGAATAGGGTACCGTTCGGTGAAGAATTGAGTTCTGTTTGCCTTCTCCGACGACTGAACCCGATTCCTTTCTTCGTGCACCTGTCACCTGTCACCAGGTTTCTCAGGAGAAAGTCATGCTTTCGTTCAAAACATAAAGTAACTTCAGTTCCGCGGTCTCAGACCTTTGTTCCGACCGCTCTCCTCGTTTTAGGTCACGAACTTTGTCACACTTTCAGAGGGGTGTCAGTCGCTGACCAATACCCCTCGGTACAGATCAGACGACCACAACCAGGTGACAAAAGTAGTTCAGGGTCTCATTTACGTCCGAACACACATGGTCTCTAAAATCTGTGATGTACGAAGGCATACGACTTTTCGAGAATACCTCTACGTCCTTTAAGTAAAAGGTCGTACTAAGACCCGTGGACGGGTGCATCACGGGTTTTGGTGGTCATTGACCACATGCATGCGTACCGTAATGACAGGGCTACGGACGTTTAAGGGGACTGGACTTGGGGGTATCTCTTATACACCACCATAACATTCTTCTTCGACTTTCTGTGGTTCACCTCGCAATACCTAAGTCCTTGACAACGCAGGCGTTGTGTTACCGACTATTTTTAGGACTCGACTGCAGCCAGGAAATTGTTCTACGCATGGTCGTTCCAATTCTCTCTTTCTTTTCTGGACCCCTCCCGCTCCCCCCTGGCCAAGGGCCACGTCTGTTACAAGCTTGTTACGTTAACTCGATTTCGGTCGATAAACTTCCGTAGAAAAGTAAGAGTATTGCTGACGAGTCGTTACGGGTGCTCCGCCTACTGGGAGGTACGGTGCAGCGCGCTAACTAACGTAATTAGGCCGTTTTCCTAAGGGTTGGTGCTATGACTCACGTCATTACTGTAAAAAGTTTACAACTAACACAAACGATCAATATTTAGAAAAAAAATTGAACCAGACTCCTCTGATAAGATCTAGCAAAAACTCTATCTAAAAAACTCAAAAGAATCTCGACATACGCTATTAGCTCGTATAATTTTATTATTTTCCCGAACGCTTATAAAAGTCAACTAACCATTACACCTTACGGTCTTAACACACCTCACTGTCAAAAAAAAAACTTTAACGACTAATGTCCCTCCTCTTATCTTACTTGCATACATAGCGTGACTTATAGAGCCCGCTCACTTCCAAAGACCCTCACCTGCCACCAGGCACATACAAGAGCAGCAAGGACCTGCAGCGCACCAGCGCCTCCCGCGACGCTCGCGCAGGGAGAAGAAGTGGTGGAGGGAGAACACAGGCGACGGAAGACAGAGAAGGATGAGAAGAGTCTGCAACGAGACGGCGAAAACCGGACGACCAGTAGGAGATGCAGAGACTCACTAGGGAGAAAGTAGAAGGCCGGGCAGAAGCCCATAGGAGAGGGAGAACGGAATACACGGGAGCGACCGAAGGAGGGGGAAGCAGGCTGCAGGCCGAAAGGAGAGATCGCTCAAGATCTTCTAGATTGTCTTCAATAAAACTCAATTTAACCCAGTAGAGCGTTTCATTATTCACCCACACACTAGGAAGCGACTCTTCTTCACAATGCTGTTAAGGCTGCGGTCATCTCTCTTGGTTGTGCAGCGTTTCCTGCCACATTTCCCCCTTCCAACAGACTTTTTGTGGATGTGCTTTGAAACTGCACTCTGTGAACAGCTTGCTCTTTGAGAAATTTCTTTTTGTGTCTTACCCTCCTGATGGAGGGTGTCAATGACGGTCCTCTGGACAGCAGTCAGATCAGCAGTCTTCCCCATACTTGTGATTTAGTTTACTGAACCAAGCTGAGTGTTTTTCAAGGCTCAGGAAACCCTTGCAGGTGTTTCGAGTTAATTAGACGATTCAAGTGATTCGTTGAACACCCTACTAGTATACTTTTTCATGATATTCTAATATTTAGAGATAGGATATTTGAGTTTTCTTAAGCTGTATGCCATAATCAGCAATATTAAAATAATAAAAGGCTTGCAATATTTCAGTTGATTTGTAATGAGTCCAGAATGTATGACATTTTTGTTTTTTAATTGCATTACAGAAAATAAAGAACTTTATCACAATATTCTAATTTTCTGAGACAGTCCTGTATATCAATCCCAGTGCTCATGTGTTTCAAAGTTCCAGCTCAATAAATTGTTGTTCATCTACAGCTTGTTGCATTATTTCATGCATTGATATTATCAATAAGACATAATATCTAAGCATTTACAATGTAGACTTGACTGGCACATCTTTTAAATCAAGTAAGTAGTCAGGTGTCCTAGGGGGTTGTGTGTGTGTGTGTGGAGGGGAGGGGGGCGCGGATGGGGGCGGAAAGCTTCAGGGGCCTATAGATCATCACTTAATATGGTACCTGGAAAATCAGGAGGTAGCATGGAAAAAAATGTCAAGGCAAGCGTGGGAACCCTGTTCTTTCCTTTTGCCAGATGATGCCAGTAGGAGCGTTTCTGGTGTTTTACTCACGTTTGATGTGAAGAAAACACGGTTAAACTGAATTATTTTCAATTTAATTATTATATCTTCCACTCACCCAAAGTTACAGGCTAACAACGCATGATTCAAATGGTTTCAGTTGAGTTTAAATTAAGAGTAATAACTTTATTTTCTGGCCTGGAAACTTTAAGGAGAGCATATTAACTGTATGTTAATAGATCATAAGAAATGTCCAAACCCCTGGAGAACACATGTCATAGCTTTCTGTCAATGGGGGGGGGGGGAAATAAGCAGGTTTCATATTTCTATAACTGTAGATCGATTTGATAAACACTTTTGACTACGGCAGAGTCATTTGTCATGAGGAAAATGCAGAATGTAACCCCTCCTGCTAAGGACAAAAGCCAGATGTTAACGGGTGTTCATCTTTGTCCAAGGGGGAAAGGGGTGTGTGACTCGTTTGTGTGAGTCTCCTGCACCAATGAAACCCAGCCCATATGTGCTCATAAGACACTAGATAACAAGCAGGATGGACACATGACTTTAATGATATACAGTTCCAAACATTCAAAGAAAGAAAACCAATGAGAAAACGTCAGAACACTTTGCATCAGTTACACTCTGAATCTCGTTCTACTTTTTGTATAATGACAATAAAATAACTTGACATTACATGTTACTTGTTAGACGCTTTTATCCAAACCACTTGCATACTCAATACTGTGGACAGTCACAGGAGCAATTTGAGGTGAAGTGTCTTGCCCAGGGACACAACGACATGCTGACTGCAGTGGGGTTTGAACCTGTGACCCCCTGATCCGAACACCAACGCTCTATCCACTGCGCCACACGCCTCCAACATAACATAATCCTTCTCTTTTTGTAAATGGCCAACTCAACATAGTATCTTGGCTTTAGACCACTCAAATACATTTCAGGTTCCTCAACAGAAAGACATTCTTGAGGCAAAGTACTTGGGGATATGCAACATAAAGTAAAACTCCTCCTCAACATCCTCAAGATCCCCACAAACTGCCCTATCTGTAAAACTTATTTGTAAATATTGCAATTAATTCTCTTTTTGTATCCTATAGGAAAAGTCAGATGATCCTTATTACTCCAAACTCCTACATCATATAAAGACAGAAGAGGAGGACGAAGACCCCTATGAGGAGGAGGATGAAGAAGGCAGGGTGCCTCACTTCAGGGGAGGTGTAGAAAGGAGAGGGCGTTTTGGGGACCCTGAAGACGAAGCAGATGAGAGGGACTCCAGGAGTGCACTCTTGAACCCCTCCGTTAAAACTCCTTTTGGAGACAGTGACCAGTCGCTCTGCAGCTCCCCGCAGGCCGGCCCCAGCAGCGAGGGCGGCAGTGAGACCCAGGAAAAGGGTCCGCGTCGCAAAGCCCGCCGGAAGCGCCGTGTACCCAACAGAGAGCTGAGCCGGGAGCTGAGCAAAGCCCTGAACCAGGAGATCCAGAAGACGGAGGACTGCCTGGCCAACGAGAACCGGCAGCCCCTCAAGGTGGAGCCGCAGACGGAGAACGAGGAACCCCAGAGGCTGTTCCGCAACGAGCTGGGGGATCAGAGGCCCCACCTCAAGAACAAAGAGATGAACGGGACCCCCTGGGAGCTGCGCCACTTCTACCCCAGTCAGATCACCCCGCTGGGCTTCAACAGGAGCACCCCCACCAACCGGCCCGTGCCCCCACACTCCCCGCCCAAGTGTGTCCAGATGGAGCGGCACGTGATTCGGCCGCCCCCGATAAGCCCGCCCCCCGACAGACTGCCGCTGAAAGACGGGAAATCCCACGTCATTCAGCGAGAGGTGTGGATGAAGATCTTCGGATACCTCACCCACCAGGAGCTGTGCGTCTGCATGAGGGTCTGCAAGACGTGGAACCGATGGTACGGGGACGGGACACACTCGTTTAACATGAGGGGCGATACTGCTTAGGAAAAATATCTCATCAGTTATAAGCTACGAACAATTTATATCTCAAAGTTTTTTATATCATCTCTAAAACGACACAGCTGTTGGATTTCACCTGTCGATGTTTATGATCGTTCCCAAAAGCATCGCTCTTGCAAACTAATTCCCCAAATGTCATTTTGAATTCGTATTGATTTTTACAAATGTCTACTTTATCATATCATTTAGTTTGACTTCAACTTCACACAAATGCACCATTTAATTTGAAATGCAGTTTGCAGGTGGCAGCTTCTTTTCCATTGATTTATTATTGAAAAACTAACTGAATGGGAAAATTGCCTTTTCAAGTCAGTTTTAATTTGAAGTCAGGTTTCACACGTTCTTGCAGTAATGCATTGGGTTACCATTCTTAGCTCAAACATGTCTTTTGCTTTGGCGCTGTTTCCCTGAAGATACAAAAAACACACCACATCTGCCCATTTACAAAAGAGCAGACCGCCAAAGTAGGGTCTTAAAAAGTATTTGTTCTCTATGTTAACAATAATGTAATACAACAAACCCTAAACACATTGAAAACATCCCCCAACTGTCGAAACACAAATATTGCTGCTCAGATTTTATACATCTTAATAACATGGTTACATATAAATATTCTTTCTGATGTCCAGGTGTTGTGATAAGAGACTCTGGACGATGATCGACCTGAACCGCTGCACCTCCATCACGCCTCTCATGCTGAGTGGGATTATCCGCCGGCAGCCGGGCTCCCTGGACCTCAGCTGGACCAACATCTCCAAGAAACAATTGGGCTGGCTTATAAACAGATTGCCAGGTAACTATGAGTGATTCTTGAACTGCAGACAAGGAAACTCTCCCTGTTTTAGTTCCTTCTGTCCAGCATCAGTATTTGAAAGTGCTGCTGTGTGTTTTCAGGTCTTCGGGTGTTAAAGTTGTCGGGGTGTTCCTGGGCGGCGGTCTCTGCGCTCTGCACCTCCAGCTGCCCTCTGCTGCGCACCCTGGACGTCCAGTGGGTAGAGGGGCTCAAAGACGCTCAGATGAGGGACCTCCTCTCTCCCCCCACAGACAACAGACCAGGTAACCATTAGGTCAATGGAATCAAGCAAAGCCATCATTCTAACGTTTAGTTACTCCTTTATGAGCACCCTTAATGATTCAATCACTACATTTAAAAGTATAACATTTCAACGTTAAAAGGAGAAATTATTAACCTGTTATTGTTTGTTTATTATCCCAAATGTTTCCAATTTTTTTTAATACTAAAGAAATCTGTCAAATGAATCCACTTTACACACGTGTCAGCATAAGGGTTGTCTGCGGAAGCGGTCATAACATTTAGTTTTTAATAGATTTTTAGGCCACATTTTTATGATGCAAATTTAAAATCGTGATCGTTTTAAATTACATATTTAATCTTTATGAAGATTTACAATTACTTTTAAAGGGTTTTAATCACATGGTCCATAAGTATAATATTACACAGGTTTCCTGTATGATTGCTCATTTTTGACGAGTTTTCTTGAAATATAGGTATAATATTTTTGTCCTCAGACCTAAGTTAGATTTAAATCTTAGGAATACAAATCAGCTTTAAAGTACGAACATAATGTGACTGACTTCTCATTTATAGCTTTTAGACATCGTACAGATCCTTATTTACTGTCGTGCACCTGTTGACAAAATACATGAACTAATCTGTGATGTTCTTTATGTGACTCTGATCACAGGTCAGCTGGATAACCGCTGCAAGCTGCGGAACGTGGAGGACCTGCGCCTGGCGGGGCTGGACATCACCGACGCGTCTCTACGCCTCATCAGCCGGCAGATGCCCTCTCTCTCCATGCTGGACCTGAGCTACTGTAACCACATCAACGACCAGTCGGTCAACCTGCTGACCGCCGCCGGGACCACCACCAGGGACTCCCTAACAGACATCAACCTGTCAGGTGAGAGAGGCACGGGGGGGCTGACATACAGGTGTGAGACTGTACGAAGTTAGATGCTCTAATTAAAATGGCCACACAAGCTAGTTTAAAGGGAAACTCGTCACTAGATGAGTTATTATAAATCGATCGGGTAGTGGGTAGGGTTGCCAGAAGCTGACCATGATCAAAATCGATTATTCGGCCGCCCTGGCGAATAATAATCAATTATTCGACCCCCCCCCCCC